GAAATTTGACCAGCAAAAAACATTCTTTCAGATCACAGGATAAACCCCCGAATTATATAAAACCAGGAAAAAAAATGCAAAAAACTGGATGTATTCTTAATTATCTTTTTTTTATTTGCTTCGGTTTTTAGAAACACTTTTTTTTAGTCAATTAAATCTCAACGGTAAATTTGATACCTTCTTAAAACTGTTATGTGATTTTTCTTCTCGCTTCTTTGGTACAGTGAATGCCTAAAAAAACGTTGAATTTTCTTTCTAGGCCAAAAACAGAATAACGTGATCAAGGAAGATGGCAATTCTTCTTTTCTGTTACCTTATCTACCTAATAAAATTGGGATTATCGGAGCAAAAAAAAAAAAAAAAAATTAGTGCCTCTACATTAAGGATTCATGTTTTACAAAGATCTGCTATCGCTTTGTTTTATTTGCACGAATGCGTTACGTTTAGTTCATCAAACACATTAGATCATCAAATAATTTTTCAAAGTTGTAATAGTTTTGATTCATTTTCTAGGTGACGTATACTTTTTAGAATAACCAACATTTACTTTACAGAGTACAAATTTGAAAAATTTAGAAACATTTTTGAGTTTTTTTTAATTAATTACGGTATTAAAGAAATTTTTGTTGTACTTTAAAATATTTTGAATATTGGCAATGTGCAGTGAAGAATCACGGGTGGATAGTTATGGAGAAAAACCCGTTGTTTGATAATGAGCAAAAAAATGGAGGGGCTACGAAAAAACATTAAGGACATCAGTAAATGCATTAAATTTTGAGAAATGTTACATATAACAGCTGAAAAAACCTCTATGTTGCCTTTATTTTTAAATAAAACTAATATTTGAGAATGTGGAAACAGGAAGATGAGCAACAGAGAACAAAAAAAAATTAAAATTAAGAACAAATACTTTCAAAAAATTTATTTTAAAGAAAAAGTTTTTTCCTTTAATAAAAATAATTTCTTCAAATGTATCTTTAGGGGAAACCCCTGTGTTGAAAATAATGGCAAAAATCTTGTCTGTTTACTGCGTTTTGTGCTTTCTGACATCTTTTCATCGGGGATACACACGTTTAAAGCTGACAGTTGTTTAACTGATCATTCTTTTTTTTTATTCCCTGTACCTTAAAACGACAGAACAGACACCACCAACGAAAACAGCACAACGATTCAGACAACATCTGGTGACCGCTGCGATGGACGTTACAACTGCAGCTTTGTGGGATTAGCTGGCTGCCGAGAAACTGTAAATAAATTTTTCTTGTTTTCTAACTAAGATCGAACAAAGAAAAAACTCAACAGATTAGTGCTTCCCAGTGTCGCTAAAAAAAAAATAAACTATATCTGAAGTCTGCCTGGCTACAACCGGTAAGCCACAGGTCCTGTTTTTGTTGCGATATTAAGGCAGTAAAACTGACGTTTAACAATAAATGAAAGTAAAAATCAGTGTCTTTCTAGTCTTTTTTCGCCCGATTTTATTCGCGAAAACAGAGTCTCCCATTTTATTTGTCTTTTTTTTTTTCAGGTGTTGATTGACGGAATGAAAGATGCGGTAAAAAATTCAAAATTATAGCAACAAATACTAGGAAAGTTTTGATGATTGCCAGCAATTTGTGACAACGATAACGTCAACATTGGAAATGCATTTTGTCTTGGGAGAAACCTTCCTTTTTTGAACATTTCAGACGGTGTTGTTAATGCTCTCAGTGTAGCGTAATGATCATTAAAACGCATTGAATGTTTTCTGTTTTTTTTAGAGAAAAACGGGAAGAGGGTGGTTAAAAAGAGTGGAAGAGGGAAACTGAACAGAATGACAATTCATTTCTTGCTTTTTTCCAATAGTTTGATGTTTATTTTTGGTAACAGTGCAGAGCAAAGACCGCACAGTTCGCTATCGATCACTATTATAAATACACAGAGGTTGATAGGCAAACAACAATTTTTGGGGTTGCCCAGTTGCCCGAGCTACGAGATGACGACAACTGTCGTTGTTGAGACTGGTCGTTCCCCTTTCTTGCTTTTTTTTCTTTTTCCTTCCCTTTTTTCCTTGCTCAACAGTGCGAACACCGAGGCTTTTGACTGTTTTCTTCATTTATAAATATTCTTTCCTGATTGTCGTGATGTACGAAGTGAAATAACGAATTGGACATTAGTTTTGTCAAGGGTTTGGTCGTTCAACTTAATTTTTTCTACTTAGAAGAAAATGAAGTAACTTTTGCATCGGCACGAAAATCTCTGTTTGAACCTTATCTTACAAATATATCATATCAAGAAAATTTTATTTTATTCCTTCCTTTTCCTCTCTCTTTTTTATTTTTTTTTTTTGTAGAACAAATCTTATAAACCGTCTTGTAATTTGCTGTGACTTTTTTCATAATCATCTATGCTAATAGAATAAAATATCTTGTTAATAGCGTTTTGCCTTTCCCAGTTTTAACCTGTTACAGAATAATAGATTTCTCGTATGCAGAAATTTTAGCGTTCTCTTCAGTTAGGGTTATCGACCACTGTTGCTGATTCATCGCTGTTGGCTTTACAATGACCGTACATGCTGCTATATATCAAGATTTATTTTTACCAGGTTAACTTACTTGGCAAATTGTCTACAAAAAAAAAGTCTTATTCAACTTAGCTTAAGATCCTTATTCGTATGTCATGACTTATTGTCTGATCTTGATGACCTGTATAAGTTCATCAGAGTAGTGTATCTTATTGTCTCTTTAGGAAAATTGTCATCGATATAAACTGCTGACCAAAATTATTTGGTCAAAGAAAAAAGTGTCATTTGTGTTGAATTTGTACTTTTGTTTGGGCAACGAGTCTGCTTGTAAGTCATTCTCAGTTTTTAAATTGACGGTTATCTATAGTTTAGTTACTTGGTTGTAATGTCTATATTTTTGCGCCTGCTTGACCTAAGCCTGAAGTTTCTTTATCGTATTGTCTTAAACGTTTCGTTCGCATCTTTTGACCTTAGTTCGCTTTTTTTTTTTTTTTTTTTTTTTTTTTTTTTTTT